TCCTTGTCCTGACTCAGCGTTGGCACTGGTCCTCTCCTTCCTGGCTCACTGGCCATGTGAGGGGGGCTGTCTTGAGACTTCATAGCAGTCATTTCCTCTCTGGGAATGTTCTTCTCCTAGGCATTCCTTTGACTGAACTGAGCCCTTATCATTCAGTCCTCAACCCAAAAGTCACCACCTCAGAAAATTCTGGATCATCTCAAAATTTTTTCCAACCTCCACTTATTACTTTAATCCAAATTTGCCTCCACAGCACTTCTTGCTGTTCAAATCAGGACTTCAGATGCATTTATTTGGCCATAGCAGTGGTAGTATCATTTATTTCACTCGAATGCCTTTGGTAAGGCACTGACTCAGTCCTAGACACTCAATCTGCCCAGCATGGAGGGCACTGCGTGGCATAGGAAGATGAAAACCACAAATACGAACGTATGCTCCACTACATGAAGGAGGCTACCCAGAAGATTTAAAAGGCGGCTTAGGTTAACTTTTTTAACTTTTATTTAATGAATATAGGTTTCCAAAGTACAGCTTATGGATTACATTGGCTCCCCCCCCAATGACTTCCCTCCCACCCGCAACCCTCCCCTTTTAAAGACTTTCATCAAAATGAAAAACAAGGGTGGATATTTGATACCGTGGTTAAGATGTTGATTGGGACACCAGTGTTTCATATAGTTGTATCTGGGTTTAAGTCCCATTTCTGTTCCCAATTCCAGGTTCCTGCTACTGTGCACTTTGGGAGGCAGTGGTGATGATTCAAATAGTTGAGTCTTGATACCCATGTGGGAGACCCAGATTGAAGTCTGGGTTCCTAGCTTCATACTGGCCCAGCTCTGACTATTGTGGGCAGTTGGGGAATAAACCAGCACATGGAGGCTCTCTGTCTCTGTCTCTGTGTCCTTGCCTTTCAAGCAAGTAAAAAGCAAATAATTGCTACTATTTTTAAAAATGTTTGTTTACTTATTTGTCCAAAAGGCACAGCAAAGGAGAGAGAAAGAAATAGAGAAAGAGAGAGAAAACCTGCATCTACTGATTCATTCCCCAAATGGTCTCAGTGGCCGGAGCTGGATCAAGTTAAAACCAGGAGCCAGGAACTCTATCCAGGTCTTCTACCTGGATGTGGGGCCCAAGTACTCGCACCATTTTCCACTACCTTCAGAGGTACATTAGCAATACAGTCAGCTTGGTATGCATGAAAGAGTGATGATAAAGAATAATCTCCAAAGAGCCAATTCATTGTTGAAAACTAATGGAATATTAATATTTTCGAGATAACAAGAGATAGAGAGGCCAAAGATTGAAGAAATCAAGATTTTGTGAGCTTCTGTGGACTCTGTGCTTTGTTTGTTTTATTTTACTTGGACTTCAGGACAACACAATGAAGTACATATTATTAATGTTTCCATTTTACAGATAACCTATATCAGAACTTTGGGCTGTTACATGATTCAATCAAGGTGTGGAGGAGGCACTTGAACTTACATTAATCAGACTGAAAGACCTGTACTTGTTCCATTGCACAATGCAGCCTCTCAGATCGACAGAAAGTAGAGAAGCCTAGAAACAAAAGATGGCTCTCAAAGGTGCACCAGGTTCTTTACAAACTGATTACTCTATGTAGCCATAGAAGTACAGCTAGAACAGAGAGACTCCTATTTAATCAATCATGGCTGAAAACAATGAAGGTTCTCATTTAGAGATGACTGCACCCCTTATATGTTTTAAGAACTGCCAGGAAAAGAGGGATAAATGTAACCTCTGGTTTACTGAGGAGCGGATCTAGGACAGGAGTTCGGAGTGTGGCAGTCAATTTTGTTCCCAGTTCAACTTGACGGACTTTGAAACCAATAATAAAAATATGTCTATGTGTAGATGCATGTAAGGCATTTCATCAATGTATTTTTGGAGCCTGCAATTCTGAGCATGGATCTTTGTCCTCCGTGGAAGGATGCACAGTCCCTAAGGAAGCTCTACTGAGCACTTTCTAGATGCCAGGCCCTGCACTAAACACTTTACAGTCATGACTTCATTTAATCCTCATCACAACATTATGAATTAGGGAATAGCAGTAAATACAATACTTCTTATGTAAGAGTAGATACTGAAATTTTCAGAAGTTTGGGCATCTGTCCAAGAGGTTAAGTGGTAAGGCTTGAATTCAAAACCCAGGCCTTCAGTAATTCTGGTGTATGGCCTAGGAGCCTCAAATAATCACCTGGTCCCTTTCCAGGAATGAGATCTCACAGGCTTGACTTCTAACCTGACATTTGCATTAAAGGGGAATACAATTAACATGGAATATGTTCTTCCCAAACAAGTGCCAGTTTCCATGGAAGTTGTGCTTAAGGCTATTGGGTATCATGACATTCACTTGTGCAAATGAATCCATTGACAAGATAAAGTCCAGACTCCACCATGGGACTTAACATGATTTAGGATTCAACCTCATCTTTTATTTTCCCACATTAGAATACTTTCTGCTTATTTGCTCATCTTTATTACTCCCTCCATACTTTCAATAATGTGCTATCTCTATCCTGAATGTCTACTGGTCCATTTATCTATCTGTTCATCCATATCTGCATTTCTCCATCCATCCACTAACCAACAATGTATCAAGGCTGTGCTTATTTCTGGGAATAGCGCCCTGCCCTCACTCGCCACACAGCATCACAAAGGAGCAAGTAAGAAAACCACTCTAATTCCTACCCATGCTATAAGCTCCAACTTCAGTTATTTCACCTTCAGTGGCATTACCCCTAAGGATTATGGTCTCCATCTCTTTTGACTGCCATTCAACATTCAATCATTGATATTCAATAATTGATATTCAATGAAACCTCACTTCATATGGGACTTGTGTTTTAAAGCCAGAGTGAAAGGACAGAGTAGCCACAGTTGCCTTCATAAATTCCTTACAGAGATGGTATCACACTGGAGACTGACAATTATCTCCTGATAGGCCCATCCCAGCAAATTTGTCCCTCATGTCGAAAGAAATGGCTATTTATTGGTTAAAATGCCAGAGAAGTCACCTTAGTGTAGAGTCAAATTGTAGGAACAGTGCTTATCTAGTTAAAACTAGAATCACAGAACACTCATTCTCAGACTAAGATGTTCAAAATCGGACAGCAGGAGAGAACCAAGACTGAGCCAGAGCTCAGCAGAGACACATTGTCCCCTCCGACTGTCACACTGGAGTCTACACTCTTTGAGTAAATAGTGCAAACCTTTGCCTGAGCCATCTATATGTTCTTGTCTTTCATGCGTATGCACACGGAATATGTCCCAGTGACCTACCCAGTGCTGTCATTTAGTTCTTTCAAACAGACAGCTCTGCTAGGAGCTCTGGGAGCACATGAACAGCATCTAGCACCACAGAGTTCCCTGCTGAACAAGAGCATCTTATCAGCTCCTTGGTGTGCAAGGTTCTCTGTGATGTGGTTCTCATCCCTGTAGTTTCTACACTCTAACTCTACTTCCCCATTTCTGCTTTCCACAAATAAGACACACTCCCTGCCTCTGCTTATAGAGTCCTTTTCCATGATATCCACAAGCCTCAGTCCTCAGTACTCATTTCAAATGTCTCCGCTTCAGTGACGGGTTGATTGTCAGTGCCCATGATCTTCACCTCTTCCTGAATCCCTGCTCTTTACCATGGAAAGTTCACTGCCCTTCGCTCTCATGTTGGGTTTGGCAATGCAACATGTTTTAACCAGTAGGATGCTAGCAAATGTGACACCAAAAGCCTGAAAAGTGCTTACACAATCAGACTTGGCTCTCTTGCCATCTGTAACTGCTGGAAAAATATTCCTGGGTTAGCTTGCTGGAGGGTGAGAGATGGATGGTAGTATTCTAGGTGATCTAAGTCAATCCTAGATCAGCCAACTGCAAGCTGAACCCTGGATGTGTGAGCAACCCCAGCCTGCATCAGGAAAGCCGCTTAGAGAGTTCATAGTTGACTACAAACATGCAGGAACTCCAGGTGACCCCAGCCCAGAACAGCTGCACCCCTCAGACTCATGGTGGGAGCTCTTGAACTGTTGCTCTTGTTCCTTAGGTAGCATTAACGTAGCCACAGAAAAGTTATGCACTATTAAAGACTTTCCTGATCATTCCAAGGAGAAGTGACTACTTCCTCATGTATGTAACCTCGGAGTTCTGAAACTTCCTTTATTATAAAAACTTAACACACTTTACTACAATAAACATTTGATGAGTCAATAAGTAACACAATTATTTGTTTTTAAGTTTGGCTCTCTTTGTAAAACTGAGCTTCTCAAGAACAAGAACATCTTTGGGAGACAGGCCATGTGTACAGTAAACACAGTTCAGGATGTCCCGGATAGGATCATGGCTCAGTGAGTGGCAAACTTTGTGAGCCCAAGTGTCTTGAGCTATGAAACAAGGCCAGCAGCATCAACTTTACCGTCTTCGTGAGGCCACCAAATGAGGAAATCTGTATAAAGTAAGCAGCTCAACACACATCACACCAAAGGGCTCAGTAAATACATCAGCAGTCCATTGCCTTAACCACCTGGCCACCGCATCGCTGTTTCAGTAAATACATTATCTGATTGAGTGAATTAATGAAGTGATCCTTCCATGGAAAATTCTAAGAACCAATGCATCAAAAATAGAACACCCTTTATTCAATTACTAATTCCTGACATCACAGCTGCCTTTGTTTGCCTTTAATTCGATTTATGACTAAGGAAGCTGATGTTTCAATTTACCAAAATTAACTATATAATAATAATAAAAGCATACCTTAGAGGACCATCTTTATATATTAATATCAGAACAGTAATTAAATACAATATATTTGTCTTTCATTTAAACAAAAGTTGCAATTTGTTGCTCACTAATGAGCTCTTCCTGAACGCCTTCTGAGATACAGACACCTGGCTTGTGTGGACTACCTGCTCTTGTGCAGGCTAAGTAGGCTGGCTGACTGGCCAGTTTCCTGCACAACTAAGGAACGTGTATGAACTCACCTCTCTAGAGGCAGGGAGTCCTCTTTCACAGTCACTGCAAGAACAAGAGGCAGAGTCAAAAAAGGACATTGGCAGCAGATTGGTCAAAGTGAATGATGTGCATGGGATGACTGAGACCCCAAGACAAGTGTGGAATGGCAGCTCCCCTGTTCTCCAAGAATCCCCCACCCCACACTGGGACCCAGGGGACTGCCAGTTTCTGCGCTGCATCACTTACCCATGCTTTATATTTATGGGTACAATCTCTTGCATTAGACTTTGACCACCTTGAGGACTGGAACCTTGGTTGGGTTTATCTGTTAATCCCTTGTTTCCATCACAGGGCCTATCTCAAAGTATAGCTGCTCAGTGTGTGTTTGAAATAACCTTGAATATTTACCAAGTACTTACTGGTGTGCCACAACTGTGTAAGCCTTTTTTTTTTTTTTTTCCAGGCATCATCTCATCATCATCTCAGTTATGCTATGCGATCAGTGTCTTCATTATCCCAAGTTTATTGACCAGGAAAATGAGGTTCAGTGAACAGCATGCCCAAACTTAAATAACTGGTGAGGTGGGGAATCTGCAAAGCCTATTTGATTACAGAAGACTTTGTCCTGTACTCTTTGATAACCAACTTCCCTTTCAGAGAGGTAGTTTGAAGCTTGAATTATTTAATGCTTATAAAAATGAGACAGTCTTCTCTGATATGGAGGTGGCTACATTACCAAACTATACTTAAAAGAGCTCTACCTCTGGGGTCAGCACTGTGGCACAGCAGGTTAATGCCCATATGGGTGCTGGTTCGAGACCCAGCTGCTCCACTTCCTGCTCTTTGCTATGGCCTGAAAAAGCAGTAGAAGATGGCCCAAGTCCTTGGACCCTGCACCCATGTGGGAGACCTGGAGGAAGCTCCTGGCTCCTGGCTTCAGATCAGCACAGCTCCGGCCGTTGCAGGCAATTGAGGAGTGAACCATCAAATGGAAGACCTCTCTCTCTCTCCCTCTGCCTCTCCTCTCTCTGTGTAACTCTGACTTTCAAGTAAAATAAATAAATCCTTTAAAAAAAGAGCTTTACCTCTCTAGAGTTTGCTTTCAGGATAGGACTTAAGATAACTTGTAGCTGTGGTCCCCAGAGTGCCAGCAGTGTTAGCATTCCCTGCAGCTAGTGAAAAGGCAAATTCTTGGGCTCCAGCCCAGAGCAATTGAATCAGAAACTCTGGGAGTGGGGCTTAACAGTCTGTATTTAAACAACTCTTCTAGGTGGGTCTGGGGCATGCTGAGGTTTAAGAACCAGTGAGTTGGCAAAATTCAAACATGAGGCTGCCCAAAGCAGTTGAATGAACAATCACAGACTGCGTTAACTCTCTTGGTTTACCATCTGTGGGTGCTGATAGCCACAGTCGCACAAATGTTAGCACAGTGCAACGCAGTGCCCCAAAGTGAATGTTCACCTCATGTTTCATTAGCATGAACATAAGCCAAAGCATTTAGATGTCAACAAGATCAGACTGCAGCAGGACTGGTGATGAACAGGAAGGCGTCCCTCTAACCAGCACAGGAAGACACAAAATACAACAGCAAAATGGCTTCCAAGAATGTTTCAGTTCTTACAAAGGACCAGAAGGCATAGGGGACTTCAGTTAATTACTGAAGGCAGATCCCGGGAGGTGGGGGTGGGGGGTATGAGAGCAGCCCCACAGGGTCTTCGGTCAAGATGACACTGACTTTTTTCTCTTTTCAGCCCACCCTCCCTTCTTCTGCCCCGATTGTGTTGACAGCACAGGTTTTGCAGGAAACACAAAGGTTCACTGGCTCCCTGTTCACTGACTTTTCATTTTCTTCCTCTTGGACAGGTTCCCAGTGATCAAGTGCAGTGCTCTCAGGGGAAGCTGGCTGGCCCAGGAGCGATAAGGGGCCAATCCCTACAGATTTGTAATTTCATGGGCAAGCTGCCACAGCCTCCATGTGAGACAAGCTGTGATGGATGTCCAGTGCCCTGGGAGAGTCATCTGGGAGTCCAGGCAGGGAGTAAGGTGACATGAGGGACACAGGCACACAAGCCCCGTGCATTTCCCTTACCTTCACTTCGGATCTCAGAAACAGCAGCTGCCTGTCTCCGGAAAACCTGGAGGTTCACCGCAGGGGGCTTGGGAGGCTTCGGGGGAGGAGGACCCAGGGACTCCACAGAAGGCAGTGGCTTAGTTTTGGGAAGATGGCGATGCCTGGTGTTTGGCTGTTTTTCTGAACATAGACAGAAAATAAAATGTAAGTGATTACTGCCTCCATTTCTTAGCTCATTGGGAGAAACTGGTTTTCTTACTTCAATCTCATTCCTCTTAACACTGTTCTCCATCCAGTAGTCATAGAGCCCTGATCCAAACACAGAGCTGCTCATGTGCCCCTTCCTGCTGCCTGGGACTTTCTTAGCTTGACACCTGCATATTCCACTGTCTACTATTTCAGTATCTTCTGGCCCCTAACTCTATTTCCTGATTCTTCTCTCATTGCACTGAAATATCTAACACCCTACTTCCCTGACCTTAACTCCAGCATCTTTCACTCACAGCACTTACTTCTCAGTTCTCCACGTTCAATTCTAAAAGCCTGAAAAAGCTTTCATGTCTTCCAGACTTGGCTCATGCCATCCTTCGCTATGGAATGCTGTTCTCTCTCTTAGCTAATTCTTTCAAGGCTCTGTTCCAATGATACCTCCCCTAGGAAACTTGATTTCTCCCAGAAATCAAGGCCAGAATTAATCATTCTCTTCTTGGTTTCCCTATTGCACATTGCTAATATCTCTACGTCAGTATAATGGGAAATTGGAGAGGCTGATCTGTCTTCCCACTGAATGTGGGCTCCTATGACCAGGGATTATGTTGAACTGATCTCCTAGCCCCAAGAACAGGGACTACTTCAGAACAGGTGGACTATGACTATTTGCTGAAAAATTCTTCAAGCTTTTATGATTTGCAAATAACATGGGGACTACCTAGAGGAGTGACAATTGATGTTTGATTCCAGGGAACAAAACTGGTTCAAGGGCACATAGCTAACTCAAGGCTGACTGAATGGTACCTGGGCACCTGTGAACTTTGTGCCTGAGCTTTTCTAGGACAGTCTCAATTGTATAAATTTTCTTCTTCTGTGCTTGCACATTTGACTTCAATAGAAATTCTAGTATTATATATGAAAATATTTCTCACTCTGAAAATAGCATAAAATTAGACATTACCCAAATGTCTTGATTTTTTAATTTATGTAATACAGTAGTTGTCTACCCGAGTCATCCATGCTACAACTAGAAAAGTGGACTAGTGTTTTGCTAGTGCTCTCTGAGCCTTCTGTGTGCTTTCCTTTCTAAACTGGAGTTAAGGAAGGGAGGAACTTCTTTCTTACCCCATCAGCTGGGAGCTGCATCCCCAGAAATGTGGGGTCAAAATTCCTCTTTCTCCTTTAGGCTTTAACTAGAAGTCACAAGTCATAAGCTTCAGTCTTTATCAAATTATGGAGTAGCATAGTGAAAATGAATCCTCACTATTAACTGGGCTCCCAGTTTACAAGTTATTGTGTGAAGTGATTTATGTGAGTTATCTCATTTTAGTCTCTCAACAGTCCATCTGGTAGGCAATCCATCTTCCTTTGCTTTTTCCTGTCCATCTTTCTTCCCAGTCATCTTCCTTCCTTCCCAACCCTTCATCTATAACCTGATCTAGGAAATGGGGACAGAGTTGAAAACAAGACCAGATATCCTATTGCCTTTCAAAATTTTCTTTCTAATAGGAGGAGATAGATGATAAACAAGAAAACAAATATATGAGGTAATTAGATTTGTTAGTTCTGTGAAATAGTGTGAACTGTCAATGGTAAGGCAGTACTCTTTAGACAGTTTAGAGAAGGCTGATCTTAGAAAGTGTCATTTGACCTTAGACCTAATGTAGCTATACAAAGTCCAAAGAAAATAATTTTCCAGGAAGGGAATAACAAGTGTAAATGTCCTGAGGCATTTCAAAATCTGAATATAAAGAAATCAAGTGGGCTGGACTATGAGCAGATGAGCTAAAGAAATAGAGATAGGAAATTAAGAGACATAGCAAAATACAGGGCTATGAAGACCATCATATGTAGTTTAGATTCTTTTCCATGTTCAAAGAGAAACTATAGATGAGTTTTATATACAGCAGATCCATTCATCTATTCAATCAACAAATATCTTGAGGACTCACTCAACCTAGACTTGTTTTTTAGGTTCAGAGGATATGGTGGTAAAGAAAATAGATTTTATCCTCTTATAAATCACATCTTATTTAGGCAACTAAAAAAATACATAACAATATACAGAGTAGGGACATATGATATGAAGAAAGTCAAAGCAATGTTAAGAAGATAGAGGGGGCCGGTGCTGTAGCATAGCAGGTAAAGCCACTGCCTGCAGTGCAGGCATCCCATATGGGTACTGATCTGAGACCCAGCTGCTCCACTTCTGATCCAGCTCTCTGCTATGGCCTGGGGAAGCAGTAGAAGGTGGCCCAAGTCCTTAGGTCTTTGAACCCATGTGGGAGACCTGGAAGAATCTCCTGACCTCGGATTGGCAAAGCTCCAGCCATTGTGGCCACTTGGGGAGTGAACCAGCGGATGGAAGACCTCTCTCTCTGCCTCTGCCTCTCCTTCTCTCTGTGTGTAACTCTGACTTTCAAGTAAAATAAATAAATCTTTTTTAAAAAAGATAGAAAGCAATGTGAGAGAGGTAGATATTTTATAAAGAGAGTGGTCAGCAAGATTGACGCATCAGGTGACACCTAAGCAGAGACATTGATGAATGGAGTAAGCTGCAAAGACCTGGCAGAAAAGTGTTTCACTGAGGATCAAAAAATGGCAAGACTCAGAGTGAAAACAACTTGGTATATCTAAGGAACAGCAAGGTCATCTTGTGATAAGGGGAGGGCAAGAGAACTAGGCATTGGATCAAACTTCATGAGCCTTGTAAGACTGTTGAAGTTGACTTTGAGAAGGACAGTGATGGGACCTGACTTAATGCATTAGAGGATCACTCTGTCTGCTAGGAGAATAGAGTGTAATTGAGCAAGAGTGTAAAAGCAGAGAGAGCAATTGATCTATTGAAGTGGTCCAGGTTAGATGATGATGACGACATAGAAAATGACAGAGGCAGAGATGGGCAGATATTAAGGGATTGGTGTTAGAACCAAGATCTTGCTGAGGGATTCCATGCAAAGACTGAGTTAAAGGGAAGAATAGAGCATGATTTCTTGGTTTGGGCATGAAAAATTAGAATAATTTTGCTGTTCATCAAGACAGGGAAGATTGGCAATGGATCGGATTTATAGGAGAGCAGATGAAGCTCTAAGAAGTCATGTAGATAGCCCAAGTATATGCAATTTGTAGGAAGCACAGATAGGAATCAAATCAAAGTTTACTCAAAATGTCTTACGATGTAGTTCCAGAAAACTAAGCACTCTTTCCAAGCCTGAGAGCAGATAGGCCTAGAATTCCCATGGTGGATTTTGGAGAAAATATCATCAGGGTCACCTATATGACCACCCAAGTCAATAGTTTGTTTTTAAAGATTTATTCACTTATTTGAAAGAGTTACACAGAGAGAAGACACACACACACACACACACAGAGAGAGAGAGAGAGAGAGAGAGAGAGAGAGAGATCTTCCCTCTGCTGGCTCACTTCCCAAATGGCTACAATGACCAAAGATTGGCTGGTCTGAAGCCTGGAGCCAGCAGCTTCTACTGAGTCTCCCACACAAGTGCAGGGGCCCAAGCACTTGAGCCATCCTCTACTGCCTTCCCAGGCACATTAGCAGAGAGCTGGACCAGAAGTAGAACAGCGGAGTCTGGAACCACTTCCTGTGTGGGATGACGGCATCATACACATTACCCACTACACCGCAATGCTGGCCCTAGTCAGCAGGTTTTAAATCAGAAAAGCGCAACAACCTCTCCTCCAGTCTCCTGGGAGTCACATTTCTTACCTGGGGCCTGGCCAGCAAGCTCACACTCAAAGACAGGCTGGCAGGGACTTTCAACCCAGGGCTCTTCCTGGCTCTTCCTCCCAGGTTGAAGTAGAAAAGAGGCATCTTCAGAGGCAGTAAGTGATTTTCTTTGGGCTCTCAAATGCCTCCGGGAGGGAAGGGTCTTGGATCCATCTGTTTTCACCTTTCTCCTGGGTTCCTCTGGACTAAGTTCCGTATCTTTTTGCCCTTCCAGATGGAAGGCCTTATTTCCACAACTGACAAGAAGAAAAGATGATGACATCTCACTTTTCTGAGATGAAACCTTTTCCCAGTTCCAAAGCTTGTCTCTGAAGCTATTGGCCCCCATTGCTTCCTTCTCATCAGTCACCTCAGAACTGAATTGGTCCACATCTACTAGCAGAGGAACCTTCCGAGAATTTTCTGCTGAACACACTGCAGACTTTCCCAGAGGTCCTGGGGGATTCCAACCCTTCGGAACTTCACCCCTCTGGGGTAACTTCATTTGCTGGGGTTTAAGAGTCCAGGACTCCCCACCAGAACAAGATGGTGAGGGCTGCTTGTGGTTGGATGAGAAAGGTTTCCCATTGGTCAAGATATGGGTTGACTGTGCACTTTTTTCATTCTTCTGAGAAACACCTGCTGGGAATTTAGTAGGTCCTAGAAGAGATATGGCATCAAGCTTCTGGAATTTGGCCTGAAGTTCTTTGAAGTTTCTTACCCTTTCCTAAAGCATGAAAGATAAACAAGTATTTTATTACCCCAGGGAAAAAAGCTGACTTCACAGTACATGTTAAGGGGCTCTGTCAGTGCAATGCAAGTGTTTACCCATTGGGCAGCCTTAGACAGTAATGCTATTGTCTATGTGAGATGGAAGGAAAGCAATTTCCTCCTATTTAAAACACTGCAAGTATGTTGAACTTTCTCATAGTATATGCAGAACACTTACATAGTATTAACAATTGCTAAGAAATCCATTGACCAAAAACAAACCTTTTATGGCTTCTCTGCTTCATACAGTAAACTTTTTCGTAAGGTGACACAACTAGGTTAGACAATGGTAGAATTAAGATTTCCAACACAGCCCAACATAGCTGCGTTTTGACCAAACAGAGGTATTTATAATTTCCCTGGAGACCTCCATCACTCTGATTTTAGTTGCGTGTTCTTGCCCCACAGAATGCACCCCCCATCTACTTGTTAACTGCTTTCTTGCACTTCAAGACCCTCTCCAACAAGACTACCACTAAGGGTGACAGGAAGAGCTAATGTCTGTCTGCCTCCTTGGTGTTTCCCAGCTCTGTCTATCTTGGCAATTGAACTTAACACAATGAAGTGGAAAAAAGAACAGACTAGATAGACCCATGTTCAAATTGTGACTGCCCTATCATCTAAGGAAACACTTTGGGAAATTTCATCTTGCCTCTAAGTGCAGCTACATTGTAAAAATAAGTTGTCAAGTGGTAGGATGAGGGCTACTGCACATAATGTGTCCATCACAGGATGTGACACACAGCAGACTCGTGACGAACGTAAGCTACAAGGACCTCAATGATACTCTCGTATTTTTAGTTCCCTAAGGGAAGTTATGCTCTCGTTCTAGACTGAGGAAGTTCTGTGAAGGTAGGAATGGCAGGTCAACCTTTCAGGCAGAGGAAGGGGTGTGCCCAGCACTAGACGTGGCTTGGTTGGTGGTCCAAGCAGGTGGGTTTGAGCTTCACTCCTGCTCAATGCTCTTCCTACTCTTCTCTCCTTTCCCTCACTAGATCTCACTTATTTGTGTAAAAGCATTTTGTCACCTTCTGCCTTCCCAGGAGCTGGGAGGGAGTATCTAGTGGACCCATTTCAAAAAGAACCTCTATCCTCTCCTAATCATGATAGATTTTTACTTTCATGTACACAGACCATCTCCATGGCATTGACTTCTGACTTTGTCAGCAGAGAGAATGTTGGGTGACCTTTCTCACTGTTTACAGTTGACTCACACCTGCGCGCCAAAGATTTAGGGAGGGAAGGAAGTTGAACAGGAAGCACGAAGCAGGTGTCAGGGGCCTTTCTTTCATTCTCACTCTCATTCTCTCTCTCTCTCTCACACACACACACACACACACACACATACACACATCCCAAGTACACATTTGCAGCTCACTCCACAAATTGCTTATACTTCAACAGCAGACATGTTAATCCAGCTAAACTTGCTTTCTTCTGATGTGGCAGAAGCCAGCACTGGACATGGAAATATGAGTGTGAAATCCAGTTTAGCCACTATCAATTTAGCTGCCTTGGGTGATCTTCACTTCTGAACCATATTTCCTCACTATAAAATAGGACTTATATGTCTAACAGAAGTTCAGGGTTATTGCAAGGATCACATGAAATATCAGATGTGTACACTTCAGTGGTAAATGTTAATTGTAAATATGGTAAAATACACATAACAAAATATGTCATCTTAATCATTTTATTAGTGTTGCATAGAGTCACATTGTTGTGTAATTAATCTCTAGAATTCTTTTCATCTTGCAAAGTTCAAACTCTGTAACTGTGTCTCTATGAATTTGACTACCCCATGGTCCCATATAAGTAGAATTATACAGTGTTTGTCTTGTGACTGGCTTGTTTCACTCAGAAGGGCCTTAAAGTTTATGCTGTTATAGCATGTGTTAGAATTGCCTTCTTCTTTAAAGCTGAATAATAGTCATTGCATGTATATAACACATTCTGCTTATCCATTCCTCTGTTGATAGACTCTTGGGTTGCTTCTACATTTTAACTGTTGTGAATGATGCTGCTATTTCAATTCTTTTGAGTTTGTTCTCAGACGCAGGATTGCTGGATCATGTGGCAATTCTATTTTCAGTGTTTTGAGGAAATTCCATACCATTGTCCATAGAAACTATCATTTTACACTCTCACTACTCACTGCACATGGTTCCCAATTTCTCCACATCCTCACCATACTTATTCTTTTATAGTAGCCGTCCTAATGGATGTGAATCGGTCAGTGGTTGATATATTTAAAAGAGTATAATGATAACTGTTTCTGGCTATTATTATATGAAGCCACATGAACTCCAACATTATTGCTCTGCAGATTTTAGTTTCTGTAAGATTAATTAAACACATGCTATATGAAAAATAGAATTATGGATTTTATAACCTGCAAAATCAAGAATTTGTGTGAAGACCACTAGATCAGAAAGGAGTGAATCTGATTCTACCTGGATGATTTCTCTTTCAACACATGCTAAGAGTCCACTACCTGGTGTCAAGCTCTGCTCTTACACATCACATTCTCATGTTAAAGGAGACAGAAGACAAGCAAATATACAAGGACACACTAGAGACAACTGCTATATGAATATTTAAATATGCAATGGTGACTGGGTGCCTGTGACTGATTTCCAGAGGTATAGCAGATATGTCATTCCTTCCTCTGGGCTCATTCATGGACCAAATTAGAGGTCAGCCTGGATGGTCTCCAACACTAGCACGTAGATTTTGATTTTTCTTGCTGTTGATAGGAAATAAATAGGATGCATTTTTAAATTAGCACTCACCAGCATAGGTGGGAGTTCAGGGTGCAGGATATGAGGCAAGTGGCATGAGGATGTGTTGGGAGGTAGCCAAGGGGGCCTTCAGGATAAAACCACGCTCCACTCTTTGGTGCCACAGCTGGCTGTCCTCAGATCTGCTGATCTTCAAGCTTCAGCAGCCCAAGAGCCTACCCCTTCTTCATGCCACTGCCACTGCCTTCCGGTCTGCCTTAGTTATTGTTTGCAATGGCTCTGTCTCTGCTTCCTCTCTGAGCCCCTGTAAATCGCCATTTACTCAGTTACTAGACAAATCTGTTTAACAGCACATATGTGATTTGTAAGTTCCTTACATGTTTAAAATCCTTCTAGTTGGCTTCCTCAAACCTGTCAAATAAGCTCAAACTGTTCTGCTTGGTTTACAAGACCCTCCTTTATCCCAACTCTAGTTATTCTGACATTACATTGGCCCCCTCCACAATGTGCTTTCTTCCTCATAACCTCACTGAATTGCATATATTTTTCCAAACCCGTTTTGTTCTTTCATGTCTTTTTAAAAATGATTTTTAAATTATTTATTTGAAAGTTGGAGAGACAGAGAGACATACAGACACAGAGACACACACCGAGAGTATTCGTATCTGCTGGTTCATTCCCTAAATGACTGACTGCTGGGGTTGGGCTGCGACTAAAGCTGGGAGCTGAGAACTCAATCCAGTCTTCCACGTGGGTATTAGGAACCTAACTACTTGAGCCATCACCTCTACCTCCCAGATCAAACATTAAAAGGAAGCATGAGGAGTCAGAGCCGGGGATGAAACCCTAGTAATCTGATGTGGGATTCCGGTGTCTTTTTTTTTTTTTTTTTTTTTTGACAGGCAGAGTGGACAGTGAGAGAGAGAGACAAAGAGAAAGGTCTTCCTTTGCCGTTGGTTCACCCTCCAATGGCCGCCGCGGCCGGTGTGCTGCGGCCGGCGCACCGCGCTGATCCGATGGCAGGAGCCAGGTGCTTCTCCTGGTCTCCCATGGGGTGCAGGGCCCAAGCACCTGGGCCATCCTCCACTGCACTCCCTTGCCACAGCAGAGAGCTGCCTGGAAGAGGGGCAACCGGGACAGAATCCGGCGCCGACAGACTAGACCTGTGTGCTGCGCCGCAGCGGAGAATAGCCTAGTGGAGCCACGGCGCCATGTTTACTGTGGCAATGCTGCCCTAACTTGTTTGTTTTTAAGATTTACTTATTTATTTGAAAGTCAGAGTTACACATAGAGAGAATGAGAGGCAGAGAGAGAAAGAGAGAGAGGTCTTCCATCCACTGGTTCATTCCCCAGTTGGCCACAACAGTTGGAGCTGCACTGATCTGAAGCCAGGAGCCATGAGCTTCCTCCAGGTCTCCCACGTGGGTGCAGGGGCCCAAGGACTTGGGCCATCTTCTACTGCTTTCCCAGGCCATAGCAGAGAGCGGGACAGGAAGTGGAGTAGCCGGGACTTGAATCAGCACCCATACGGGATGCCAGCACTGCAGGTGGCGGCTTTATCTGCTATGCCACAGTGCCAACCATCCCCCCTCCTTTTTTTTAATATTTATTTTCTATATCTTTGAATATGATGTTTCTTCTACTTGAGATTCCAATTTTTTTCCAATTTCTTGAACTGCTTGTTTAAAATGAAACTTGTATCATCTCCAAATATTTATCAGTGCCTACTATGTGCGTGCATGAAAGTTACAAAGATAAGGCAGTCCCTGATTTTTTGGAGTTTATGGAATGAAGGAGACAGAACATAAACTGATTATTTTAATGTAACAGAGGAAAGCATTTAAATATATAGCTGTTATAGAATACATAGTGAAAAATATGGAATACATAGTCTGTTATGGAAACTTTAAAAAGGGATCATGGTACAATCTGGGGCACAAATAAGACATTTCAGCTAAAATAAGCAGCCATGCAAGGAATGGTGGGGAAGGCAGTCCAGAGATGGCAGCATGAATAGAGGAGGCATGGCGATGTGGAACAGCAACATACATTTGGGAAGAACTAAGCAATTCCTCGTTACTGCAGCCCCAGTGTTAGTATGCAAGGCTGAAGAAAGCAGAGGCCAAGCCCTCAGAAGGTCCACAGGCTTAACATTCAGAGAGGGCACAAGCTACTGATGAGTGTACCACCGCGTAGCTGGAGACAACTTCTCACT